CATATCTCTTCACTGGTATCATGCATTGCTCTTTTAAATTTTTCAACATTTATTTTCAGTCATTTTCTGCTAACTTCTTCATTTATGCCACTTATTAGCTGTGTGACTATGGAAAAATCACTTAACCTTTAAGTGCCTTGATTTCCTTATCTGCACAATGGGATAATAATACTTGTATTATTTGTACCACATATACTTTGTAAACTTCAAAGTGCTATATAAATATGAGAGGCAGTGAATAGTGCAAAGTGCACTAGATTTGAGGTTAGAGGTCCTGGATTCAAATTTCATATCTTTCCAACTTACCAGCTATGTGACTTTGGGAAATTTACAAAATCTTTCTGGGCCTAAGGTTCCTCATGTATAAAAATGGGTATCATTATACTACTTACCTTATAGGTTTGTCATAAGGAAAGTGTGTAGTAAACCCTAATGGACATTATAAATGGGTACTATAATTATTGTTCCTTCCCTTGCTTCCAATCTTCAAAAGATGGGACAGGGATTTTCTTGATATACAGAACCCCCAGGGAGAAAACTACCAATGGTGATTAGTACCTTTTTTTTTTCAGCTTAGAGGATTAGAGAGTTACCTGGGGCACTGATAGGTTAAATGATTCCACCCCCCCCCCCCAGGGTCACATAGGCAGTATGGATCAGAGGTGGACCCTAAACCCAAGTTTTCCTGATACTAAGGATGAACCCCTAGTCATTACACCATGTTGGTTTTTAATCTTATGATATTTGATAATAAATAAGGATACTGTAACCCCATGTCTAGTGCTTGCTCATTGAGTCCTACATTGCTATTAAATGTCCTTGCACCAGCATGGAGAAAGTCAATATGGTGTATGGAAAGAACATTGGCTCAGGTCCCATCTTAAATCCTGCCTCAAACACTATGTGCACGTCATTTAATTGACTGAATCTCAATTTTACCATGTATTAAAAAGGGATCCTTGCATTATCTACTTCTCTCAGTTGCTTCAAAGAAAAGAGCTGTACAAATGAGTTTTTCTATTTTTATGGATGAGTTGTACATAAGAAAGTTACAGCAGAGGGGGCAGAGCCAAGATGGTGGAGTAAAAGCAGTGACTTGCTTGAGCTGTCTTCCAAACCCTTCCAAATATCTTTAAAAAATGGCTCTAAACAAATTCTAGAGCACCAGGATCCACAAAAAGACAGAGTGAAACATATTTCCAGAGAACCTGGATGGTTGATTAGAAAGGTTTATTGTGCCAGGCTGGGAGAAGAGCACAGTTCAGCATTAGCCACACAGGCAAAGACCAGGCCTCAGAAAAACCTCGAGCAGGCCTTAGGAAACTGAATCATGAACAGCTGTGGCAGTTTCCAGACTTCTCAACCCACAAATACCAAAGACAGCTTAGAAGATCAGTAGGAAAGGTCTGTGACCACAGTGAGAGAGAATTTCAGTCCCAGCCCCAGCCCCAGCCCCAGCATAGCCCCAGGGTGGTGGCTGCTTTAGGAGCTCTCAGCCCATGGTCTGAAAGGGAATCAAGTGGCTGATCAGAGGGGAATTTCAGGGATCTCTTTGCCAGTGCTGAGTCAGGATTCTTTTGCTTTGCATGTGCTTGGATCTGAGTCGCAGTTCTGGCTGGCAGTCCTGGGGTGAGGAGGAGAGCTGGTGTAGTGAAGCTTGTGGTGGCAGTGCAGACGGAATCCTCCTTACAGTTCCAAGGCAGAAAAGAGTGCTTGTGATCACTGAAACACCAGAGCACAGGCCAGGAAAGGAAGAAACAACTTGCCTCTTATCATACCACCTTGGATAAACTGAAAATTTACAGGTGCACAGAAGTATCTCTGAAAACAGCTGCACAAAATACCTGAAGCTTGGGATAGTACATGCTCCACACTAGAAGCAGACCCCTGCTTTAACAAAGAGATTAAAACTCAAGTAATTAGGTGGGAACATGAGCAAACTGCACAAAAAAGTCAGACCATAGAATCTTTCTTTGGTGACAAAGAAGACCAAAACATAAAACCAGAAGAAGACAACAAAGCCAAAGCTCCTACATCCAAAGCCTCCAAGAAACATATGAATCAGTCCTAGGCCATAAAGAGCTCAAAAAGGATTTTGAGAAGCAAGTAAGAGAAGTAGAGGAAAAACTGGGAAGAGAAATGAGAGTGATGTAAAAAAATCATGAAAAACAAGTCAACAGCTTGCTAAAGGAGACCCAAAAAAATACTGAAGAAAATATAACCTTAAAAAATAGCCTAACCCAAATGGCAAAAGAGGTCCAAAAAGCCAACAAGGAGAAGAATGCCTTAAAAAGAAGAATTGGCTAAATGGAAAAGGAAGTCCAAAAGCTCACTGAAGAAAATACTTCCTTAAAAATTAGAATGGAGCAAATGGAAGCTAGTGACTTTATGAGAAATCAAGACATTGTATAACAAAACCAAAAGAATGAACAAATAGAAAATATTGTGAAATATCTCATTAGAAAAACAACTGACCTGGAAAATAGATCCAGGAGAGAGAATTTAAAAATTATTGGACTACCTGAAAGCCGTGATCTGAAAAAGAGCCTAGCCATCATCTTTAAAGAAATTCTCAAGAAAAACTGTCCTGATATTTTAGAACCAGAGGGTAAATTAGAAATGGAAAGAATCTATGAATCACCTCCTGAAAGATATTCCCCCAAGGGAAAACTTCTAGGAATATCGTAACCAAATTCCAGAGTTCCCAGGTCAAGGAGAAAATATTGCAAGCAGCCAGAAAGAAACAATTCAAGTATTGTGAAAACACAATCAGGATAACATAAGATATAGCATCTTCTACATTAAGGGATCAGAGGGCTTGGTATATAATGTTCTGGAGGTCAAAGGAGATAGGATTACAACCAAGAATCACCTACTCAGAAAAACTGAGTATAATCTTTCAGGAAGAAAAATTGATATTCAGTGAAATAGAGGACTTTCAAGTATTCTTTTTTTTTTTTTTGGCAATTGAGGTTAAGTGACTTGCCTAGGGTCACACAGCTACTAAGTGTCAAGTGTTTTGTCTGAGATCGGATTTGAACTCAGGTCCTCCTGACTTCAGCACTGGTGCTCTATCCACTGCGCCACCTAGCTGCCCCTCAAGAATTCTTGATGAGAAGACCAGAGCTGAATAGAAAATTTGACTTTCAAATGCAAGACTCAAGAGAAGCATGAAGAGGTAAACAGGAAAGAGAAATCTTAAGGGACTTATTAAGGTTGAACTGTTTATATTCCTACATGGAAAGATATTTGTAACTCATGAGACCTTTGTCAATATTAGGATAGTTGGAGGGAAAAAATTTTGTGTGTGTATGTATAGATAGATAGATAGATAGATAGATAGATAGATAGATAGGTAGATAGACAGATAGATAGATAGATAAATAGAGGGCACAGGGTGAGTTGAAGATGTAGGGTGATATCTAGAGAATAAAATTAAAGGATGAGAGAGGATTATACTGGGAGAAGGAGAAAGGGAGAGGTAGAATGGAGTAAATTATCTCACATAAAACAGACAAGAAAAGGCTTTTACAGTGAAGGGGTAATGGGGGAAAGGAGAGGGAACGAGTGAATCTTATTCTCATTGGATTTGGCTTAAGGAAGGAATAACATACACACTCAATTGAGTATGGAAATCTATATTACCCTACTGGAAAATAGGGGGGAAGAAGATAAGAGAGTGGGGGATGATAAAAGGGAGGACAGATTGGGGAAAGGGGTAATCAGAAGCAAACACTTTTGAGGAGGGACAGGGTCAAAAGAGAGAATAGAATAAATGGGAGGGAATAGGATGAAGGGAAATATAGCTTATTTCCCACAACATCACTACTATGGAAATGTTTTGCATGACTACACATGTATAACCTGTATTGAGTTGCTTGCTTTCTCAATGAGAGTGGGTGGAGAGGGAGGAAAGGAGAAAATTTGGAACCCAAAGTTTTAAAAACAAATGTTAAAAAATTGTTTTCACATGCAAGTGGGAAATAAGATATACAGGAAATGAGATATAGAAATCTATCCTGCCATACAGGAAAATAGAAGGGGAAGGGAATAAGAGAACAGGGGGGGAGATAGAAGGGAAGGCAGATTAGGGGAAGAGGTATTCAGAATACCTGCCATCTTGGGGGTGGGGCAGGGACAAGATGGGGAGGAAATTTGGAACTGAAAATCTTGAGGAAGTGAATGTTGAAAACTAAAATAAATAAATTAATAAAAAATTCAAAAAAAAGGAGAAAAAACCACACTAAATAGCAGTGCTGAGATACTGCTTGTAGTTCATTGAAAAAGACTTTTGTTGAGTCTGTCCAAGATGTTTGATGTCTGCCATTTATCCATGATTAATTTACCTTAAAAGTCAGAGCACAAAGAAAAAGTTGTAGTTGGGTTGACATCATCTATATCTTTGGTTGCTAGGAAAACTAATATTTTTCTTCATCATGGCAGAGGTGGGGTACAAAGCTGAGGAGCTATGAGGCTGTATGACTCTTGAATGGTTCTATTACTTTCTCAATTTCTCCTCTTATACCCAGTGGAAAACTTCTGCCTTCTAGACAAATGAGCTGTTATATATTGTACTGGGGATGGGGTGGAGGATAGAGATATAGATGGAAGGAAAAGACAAAACATTCAAAACCTTTAAAAGGAACATCCCCAAAATGTTGGAAGGTGAACTGAAATGAGCAGCAATTACCCTTTTCTGTCTTTGTCATGGAATTGTTGTAGGGAAAACTCTTTGTGAACTTTAAACTATTGTGCAAATGTAAGTTATTATTGTTATTATCATTATCGCGTTGATTTGATCTGATAACATCTTATGGCACTTTGTTGAATGACTTTATTGTTTTATATGTTTTCGAATTGGCTCCAATAAATAATTGCTGTGAAAAAAAGAGGAAAGTTGCAACACAAAAGGGAGGCCAGTTTCTTGCTTGAACAAACAGACAGGGCCACACAGACCTGTTTTGAAAAATGACAAAATAAACAGATATTATTTTTCTTACTTTTCATATATCTGAATGTTGGAGGAGTTGATCTCTTGGTCAAATCGATATTTCTCATAGTCTTCCACGCCGTCTTTCACCATGATAATCAGCAGCACTATAGTCAAAGGTAGCATGGTGATTTCTCTGTGGAAGACCTCTATAGGTGGCATCCAGTTCAGAATCACCAGGAAGAGGAAATAGAGATTAGCCCACCTGCAAGAGGCAAAGAGGTGCTAGAATCCAAATCATAGTTGGAAGACAAAAAAAAATTAAAATAAAAAAAACCCCAATGAAACAGAAAGTACCTAGTGAACAAATTCCATTTTCTGGTTTTCTTTCATATTCTTGACTTTGTACAAGCAAATATTATATTCTTATAATAATAATTTTAATCAATCATTTGCAAAGTGCTTGAATGTCTTCAGAGTCTTTTCCTCAGAACCCTGCAGGGGTGGTTGTAAAAGAATTATTCTAGAGAGGCAGCAAGGTGGTACAATGCTACTGGAGTTTTCAGGAAGATCTGAGTTCAAATCGAGCCAATTCAAATCAGGTGATAGCTGTGTGACCTTCTCTCTGCCTCACTTTTCTCATCAGTAAAAAGGAGATAGTAATAACGATACCTACCTCCCAGGGTTGTTGTGAGGTTAAAATGAGATAATATTTGTAAAGCTCTCAGCAAACCATAATACACTATCTAAACATCAGCTAATATTATATCCATTTTACAGATGAGGAAATGGAATCTTTGAAGTTAAGTAGCTTTTCCATGATCATTTAGCTAGTAAGGTTGGTGGGCAGGATTCAAACTCAGATCTTCTAGTTCTAAGCCCGGCGCTCTATCCACTAATACAGTTAGAACTGGAGAATTTTAGGGATAAAGGGGACCTGTAGAGCAGATGTTCTTACCTATTTTTGTGTCACGGTTTTGGCAGTTTGGTAAAACCTGCAAATATCTTCTCGGATTAATAGTCTTACATGCTTAAAATAAAACATGTACCATTACGGCGGAAACTAATTATATTGAAATATTTAAGTCATCCAAATATTTTTTAAAAACCAAGTTCATAGACTCCCGGTTATTCCTGGTTTAGAGTAGTACTCAGCGTTTGCAAATTGTATTATATTGTCCAAAAGGCTTTCATATGTTATTCAATTTTAACAAATCTTGTCGGGTAGACGTGGCAGGCATTTTATTGCACATTTCTCAGATAAGAAAATGGAAGCTTAAAGGGGTTAAATACAGACTGGATGAAATATGTCTTAACAGCTGTTCTTGTTAAAGAGGCAGTGGGTTTTGGCTGATCCAAAATGTTTAGTTGACCACAACATTAACAGGAGTCAAAAATGTAATGTGGTTGCTCCAAAGAGCTAAGGCATTGGCAGAATTTACAATATTTAATTGAAGAGATATAATAGTCCCTATCACATTTTATATTAGTCACATCATGTCTGGAATGTTGTGTCTTCTTTGGGGTATCACTGAAAGAGTGACATGGGCAAGCTAGAATGGGCTGATGGGAGAGAGAATGATATCCAGAGGTATCTGGAAAATCTTGCCATTAAAGGTTGAAGTTTCCTGGGACACTTAGCCAGGAGAAGATTTGATAACTATTTTCTAATACCTGAAGGATTGGTCAGTGGAACAGAGATCAGAAACATTCTGTGATCCTCTGGAGGGCAGAACTATGAAAGAGGGTTACAGAGAAGCAAATCTCAGTGTAATATATGCAAGACTTTGCCAGTATGTAGATATCCAATAATTGAATGGGCTAGCTTGTAAAATAATGACTTCCTGTCACTGCAGGCACTCAAGATGATGACAGAGACATTCTTAGTTGATAAATGGTCAAAGGATATGAACAGCTAGTTTTTGAATGAAGAAATTAAAGCTGTCTATAGTCATTTGAAAAAATGCTATAAATCACTATTGATTAGAGAAATACAAATCAAAATGACTCTGAGGTACCACATCAGGCCTATCGGATTGGGTAACATGACAAAACAGAAAAATGATAAATGTTGGAGATGTAGGAAAATTGGAACACTCATGCATTGTTAGTGGAGTTGTGAACTGATCCAACCATTCTGGAGAACAATTTGGAGCTTTGCCCAAAGGGATATAAAACTGTGCATACCCTTTGATCCATGAATAGCACTACTAGGTCTGTATCCCAAAGAGATCATAAAAAAGGGGAAAGGACCCACATGCACAAAAATGTTTATGGCAGCTCTTTTTGTGGTGGCAAAGAATTGGAAACTGAGGGGATCCCATCAATTGGGGAATGACTAAACAAGTTGTAGTATATGAATGTAATGGAATAATATCGTTCCATAAGAAATGGTGAGCAAGCAGACTTCAGAAAAACCTGGAATGACCCGCATGAACTGATGCTGAGTGAAATGAGCAGAACCAGGAAAACACTGTATACAGTCATTGTTGCGGGCTGAGAGGTTGAGACCCCTCAAAGACTGAACTACAGGATGGGTCGTCTGGAATGAATTCACAGACTCCAGCATTCTTTAAGCCAAGGTGGCAAAGTTTATTGTTATGCTTTTCATCGGGCAAGGATTCTTAAAGGATCCTGCAAACTTAGAGAGGTACAGTTAAAGTTTATATAGGATAAAATACAATAAAACATGTGCCAAATATGCTAACTAGGGGATTCAGGGTGGGATTAGGGAGTGGTTAAGGAGTGGTCAGTTCTTAAAAGAACATGTACTTCCTGTACCTACTGAATAGGCGTTTTACCCAGAGTTCACTGGGAAAAGTTGGGGGGGGGCACATGGAAATGTAATTTTAGGCCTGCTATGTCACTAAGTTAACTAGAGTTCAGGGGTAACTGAGAGTTGTCCCATCTGCCACCAATCAATGTCTTGTTTGACAAGATAGATGTAGGGAGTATACATATGTCTTAAGTCTAGAATACAGTTAATGAGGAGCCCAGGATGGAGATAATGTGGCAGGGCGGTAGGATAGTATAATAGTGGGTAAGAATGTCTTTATGACCCAGCGCAAAGCCAGTTTAAACTAATAAATCCTTCAGGTGCTGTTTGGAGCTGCACCAGGGAGAGAGATAAGGGTCTTGCTGGGGCCCACTCACATGTAATTGCTAAGCACAGGGTCCTTGGGCTGGGGAGAAACTGTCAGGGACAGTGTTTCTGAGGCCAGGGAGAAATTGGGGTCCAAGTACAAGCACCCGAACACAAGCACCCAAGTACCACATCAGTAATGGCAACATTGTACGATGAATGACTTTGTTAGACTTAGCTCTTCTGAGCAATACAATGATCTAAGACAATTCCAAAAGACTCATGATGGAAAATATCCACATCCAGAGGAAGAACTATGGAGTCTGAATGCAGATCAAAGCATGCTATTTTCATTTTTTTTTCTCATGGTTTTCCCTTTTGTTCTGATTCTTTCACAGCATGACTAATGTGAAAATATGTTTAATAGGAATGTATATATACATATAGCCTATATCAGATTGCATGCTGTCTTGGGGAGGAGGAAGGGGAAAGAAGGGGAAAATTTAGAATTCAAAATCTTAAAAAAGCGAATGTCAAAAGCTAAAATTAAAGAAATAAAACACTAATGAGCAACACATAATAAACCTATAAAATATATATCAAGAAAAAAAAAAGACGGTGACAGAAGACCACTTGTTGGGGATGTCATATGAGGGCCTTTGGTACTGGGCTGCAAAATATCAGATTGGACTTGATTATCATTTAGGATCTCTTTCAGTTCTAGGATTCTACAATTCTATGACCAGCTTGAAGTTACATAGTTGGTTAGTAGCAGAAATGAGACTAATATTCACAACCCCTGATTCCTAATCTCATCAAATCTGTCCTTTAAACTCTTCTAAAACTGAGCAGAATTTATTAAACTTTAAGGACACATAAAAGAAATTCCATCTGTCCCAGTATTATATTGCCTCTTATCATCACAGAATTCCTTCTTGTGTCTAACTAAAGTCCCTCTTAATTCACCTTTGTCATAAACTGTCTCTCTGTCAACCGTGATTCTTAAAAAAATAAAGGTCAACCTCTTAGGTTGTTCCTGCCCTAACTTTGAGATCTAACCATGTTTGTAATATTCTTCACCCTAGTAAACCTTCAGAAGATCCGTTAATCTCTATTTGAAACACATTGACATTTTTTTTTGACTAATGAGAAGTACCTGTATGACCTTGATCAAGTCACATCTCTGGATCTCAGTTCTGTCATCTGTAAAATGAAGGTTCTATCCTAGGTGACCCCTGTAGTCCCTTCCAACTCTAGGGCTCCGATCCCCTGATCTCATACTACTTACTACCAATATCTATGTACCTGTGAAACTGCTCGAAGAGGTTTCGGGGTACGAAGTTGAACAGGGTATATTTGGTGGTATGAATCCTGTTGCCAGAGTAAAACTTGGAAACTTTTGCCCAGTCTTGGTGAAATATCTTGTTGTTAGGAAAAATGACCCGTTGTTGATTCAGATTGTAGCTGTGTCTTTCTTTAGCCACAGACAGCAGTGGGGTGGATTCTGAAGGAGACTGGGAGTAGCGGTCCTTAACTTGCCCTTGCCTGCGATACCAAGAGGAATCCGCTGACAACGCCATCTTGACTGGTAGGTTAAGGCTGAAAGATGAATACAATGCAGGGATTAAATCAGAAGGCCCTCAGGAGATTCAGATATTGTCTTGATCTTTAACAAGGCAAAAGCAACAGTTTGGTCCCATGGAAAGACAAGTGGATCATGAATTAGGAGGCCTGGCTTCTAGTCCTTGTTTTGAGATTAATAAATGCAGTGTGTGATGGCTATATAGTGAATGACTTCACCTCTCAGTGTGTGTTGCCTTTCTGTAAAATGAGGATGATATCCTCCCTCAAACCATCTGAGTCAGTGATTTGGTCAAGGCTGTGGGTTTTCACAGGCCCCCTGTTAAAATGAAATGCTGTTTGTGAAGGGTAGACTAGTACAAGCTGCCATCACCAATGAACGAGTTTGCACAGAGCACTGTGTCAGATACAAAAAAAGGGAAATTTGGATGGGATCTTGGAGTTAAGGATGTGTGCAGAGCTGACCCAAATGGGTCCATCAGTGGGAGGGAGAGGAGGAAGAGAAGGACAGGGTACACAGGAGGCGGTTTCTGAAGGCAAACCCTGACTGCTTTATGATTTTGCCTAGGGCTGGTCCTGCCTGTAAACTAAGGAGAAGACAGATTCAAAATGTCAATGGGGTTATTCTTCATGGGCAAGAATCCCATGTTCCCAAGTTCCATTTATCTTCATTGTATTTGAACTTCCCAAAAATCAGATGTGGGAGATTTCTAAGAAATGAAATAAAACAGTTTTCTACTAAGAATGTGTAGAAAATACAAACCAAATAAAGGCAGTGCCTTTGTGTCAAAAAGATAATTATCTGCCTCAGGCAGAAAGAATTGTAGTTAGCTACAGGGGAGTGGGCACAGAGCAGATGAGACTAAGCTATAGTTATCGTTTAATTTTAACTATAGGCTCACAGCATGGTAGGGCCTACATGAACCAGCAATGGGACATAGTTCCTGCCCTCTAGGGATTGATGTTGTAGAAAGCTGGCAGTCCGACTTCACATGCGACTCCCATGTTGCCTGAGGTGCTTCTCTCTAAGTACTCCCAACCTATTTTATGTGATGCAGTCTCCCTCTCCTCCTCCTCCTTCCTTTCTGTCTCTGTCTTTGTCTCTTTCATTCTTGCCCTAGCTTTGAGATCTAGCCCTGTTTGTGAAATTCTTCACACTGGTAAACCACTTTTCCCTGTATTTTTAAAAATAGAATGATACAGTATCTTGATTTCAATGTTATTTTGAACTTATCTTAATACTGTGAATGTAATAAAAATAAAATCTCAAGACAAAAAAAAAAGGCTTAATGAAGCCTCCAATACTTAGAATATGACATACTATAACTGCCATTTATAGGGTATCTGGTACTCATGTGGATCACTTAAGGCACCAGAACATGTACAGGAGATGTCACTCTATCACACAGAGAAAAGACTGATGTCTTGCATGGTGACCTGGACAGTACCTGTTTTACACACAAAAAACTGATAACTCAGCATGTTTGTGCTCAGTTTTACCAAGTTCTTCAGTATTTTTTCCTATGTGGCTTTGTTCTTAGGGTCGCCATGCTGCTAACTCAAACCTTGATTGACACCACCTCTCTCAGTCTTCCTTCCCTTTGACTGGAGGCCTGGAGGGAGGAGTTACTCCAATGCCTTCCTTTACAGAGGGGCAGAAACTGGGCTTTTCTGTCTCGCCTCCCTCTGCATCTATTGCTCTACCTGGTTTCAACTCCTCTGAGCAAGATGACCCTGAACTGGCTCCCTCCTGGTTTCCCACAACCTTTCTTACTTCCTTTTGTGTGTTGCGTCCCCCCATTAGATTTGTAACAGGGACTGTCTTTCTTTTCATTAATTGTACCCACAGCACTTAGCACAGTGCCCGGCACACAGTGGGTGCTTAATAAATGTTCATTGGATTATTGGATCGTCCGAGGTCTCACAGGTAGCTAGTGTTGTACTGAGAAATCAGAGAGCAAGACCCAGACATAATTTAAAATGTGGATTTATTAGCGTGCAGCTGCGAGGGGTATGCACATCCAAATCAATCAGCCCCGATCAGGGGTTGAGCTAGGGTTTATATGGAAAAGAGCATGGGAAAGAAATGCCAGGAACACTGATGAGGTAATCCAAAGATGCAGGTGTCTTGGGGGGCTATGGATGGGAAAGTACAGGGAGTATACCGGACAGGGAGGGGGATAGATCTTTGAAGTCTGGCAGGAGGAGGAGTTCTTGGGCTGGTCAAGGACACCCCTCTCCCTCTGTCTTGATGAGAGAATGCTCTGCAACAAAAGAGCTCTCACAACTAAGGAATTGGGAGGCTTCCAGAGACATGATCTGAGGGCTGGGGAGTGGTCGTCAGAGACAGTGTTTCTGAGACTAGGGAGACATTTGGGGCACAGGTACAAGCACAAGCACCCGAGGACCCCATCATTACAGGTCAGGGATCACACAAACCAGACCAGGTGTCCGGGTCTCTGGTATAAACGTAATTATCTAAAGCAATTATATTGCAAGCTTTCTTATCCATTTGCGCTGGAATTATGGGCTGTGCTAAGCTATGCAAGAGTACATTTCACTATTGTTTAGATTTAGGAGGAAAGAGGTCTGGGGCAAGGTTAAGCAGCAACTTCTGCTTTCCATGGCCTAAAGGGCCCTACTACCTAAATGGTCAAATAATGTTCTGCATTACAGTTAGCATCAGAAGCAGGATTTGAATTTAGGTCCTCTGACCCCAGAGCCCGCGCTAGTTCTGCCAGGTTGTCTTTTCTGTGTAATCTGTCTCCCTTACTACAGAGTAAGTGCTCTGATGGTAAGCACCAGGCAGACCTTATTTTTCTCACGCCTGTCTCCCCAGAGAGACTGAGGCAGAGATCTGCTCGTGGTAGGAGCTTGGAGAACGTCACTGATCACATGCAAGCCTGTAGCTCACCCGGAAACCGAAACCCAACTTCATAAATGCAATCCTATGACCTGTGCTTCCAAGACAGGAAGGCTCTTCCTGAAAGAAGGGGCTCATTTAGTTGTAAAGAAAAAGTGTCTTGTCAGGGAAACTAAGCAGTAAAACAGAGAGACTGGAATTTGTGGAATGGGGATTATCACTGATTTGGGTTTTTGGGGTTGGGGTTAGGGAGTGGTTTGTCTAAAGCAGGGTACTGTACTATATGACCCCTTGAGGTGCCTCCAAGCTTCATGTTACTCTGATTTTATTCTTTGATGTGACATCAAACATTAACAGTGAACTTATCCATTCACCTACCTATCATCACTAATTACATTTCAGGTTGCCTTGGGCTTGAAGTTGCAGTAATTGGGCACCAATTATTTTCACAGGCATCATCTCTCATTTTATTTCATTTTTTTTCCCCTGAGACATTGACACATCTAGGCTAACTTGCTGGGTTAATTACAGTTCTTCTTCTTTTTTGACTTATAATTCTGAATTTCAGGCATTTTCTTTCCTGTCCTGAACACTTCTTAAAATGGATGTTTATTTCTTCCTTTTCCTTCTGCAACTATTTCTCACCAAATGGGAATTCACAAACCCGATCTGTCCTGGCAACCCTGTTTATGGTCTCCAGGGCCACAGGAATCCTGGACTTGTGTTCTTAAGGAGACCCTAAGGGGTAGCCTATCATCTACTAGCCTTTAAATAGAATTTTAGACTGGGGATGAGGGAGGGCTGTGTTGGGGAAAGACAGAAGACTGACTTTAGGAGCAGCAGCTAATGGCTAACATGTATATGGTGCTTTAAGATTTGCAAAGTGCTTTACATGTATTATATTACTGGATCTTCAAACAACCCTGTGAGATAGATATTACTGCCATGTTATAGATATGAAAGCCGAGTCTGGGAGAGGTTAAGTGACTTGTTCAGGATCGCACAGTTAGTAAGTAGGTGAGACAGGATTTGAACTCACATCCTTCTGATTTTATTAAGTCCAGTGCTCTAGCCATCCCTATTTTATAGGAATCACAAATTGAGGTGGGGGGATTTCAATAATTTCTCCTTCTGCTAGTCCTATGGCTCCTCTCTGCCCTTTTCTCCCTCCCCACTGCCATTTAGAGACAGAAGTCTCTTCTGGGGATTTCTCAGCCTTCACTAAGTTATTACTTATTGTAGTTTCTGGAACTTCTTTTTCCTTTTCTCTCTTCCTCCTCTACACCCAATGGAAAAGTCACAGCCCAGGAATGAGGTCCCTGGCAGTTCCTGGATCTGTATGTTCCACAGCTGTCCATGTTGGTATAAGACTCTTCCACCCTGAGCCACCCACAGATGCCCTGAGCAACAAATAAAGAGCAGGTGGAATTCTCAACTTTGAACACCAGTCTGTGAGTGGAAAAATCTGTCAAAATTTGGCTGGTTCACAGACTAGCCTGGTGGAGATTAGGAAAAGCATATGTGTACATACATACATACTCTCTCTGTTTTTGTCTCTTCTCTCTCTCTCTCTCTCTCTCTCTCTCTCTCTCTCTCTCTCTGTGCTTGTTTATTTATTCACTTTGAAAGAGCTGATAATCTTAAGTATGAAAAAGGTTTGGTGAGAGGAGGAAAAAATACAAGGACAGGCAGTTCAAAAACAGAATATTATATATTCTTTTTTCAACAAGATTCTGGGTCTGTGAGTCTTACAAGTCATTATAAGTCCTCACTGTTGCAAAAGAATTGTTTAATTTATCTCTTAATCACTCCCTAATATATTTCTCATAGGGAGTGTATAAAATCTTTTCCACTTTCCTGAAGCCCCTTCCATCCTCCCCTGATTAATTCTCTTCCTTGCCTCTTTTTTGGAGACTACCTCACTTTCTATTTTATTTTATTTATTTTATTTTAATTTTTTAATTTTTCACTTTATTAATTTATTTTGATTTATCAACAATCACTTCCATATGCTTTTGAGTTTAAAATTTTTCTCCCCCTTCCTCCCCATCACCCTCCCCAAGACTGTGCACAATCTGATATAGGCTATACATTTGCATTCCTATTAAACATATTTTCACATTAGTGAAGTTGTAAGTAAAAATTACTCACTAGT